GCAGGGGTTTGGCTTGTGCTCCCCCATCCCATCACTTTCCCACCAGTCTCTCTCATATCTTGCATTCACTCACTCTCAACTTGCCTGCTTCAGCTGCAAAATCAGGCCAAGACACAGTAAACCACCACAGCTACTGCCCAGGCCGCCACTCCTTTAAGTACTGTCAGTCACCAGCCAGCCTTCCTGTTTCCTCATGCCCCTTTTCCCTCCCTCCCTGCCACAGCTCACCTGAGGGGAAACAAGATGGACGCGCCCTCAGAGACCTCTTTTTCCACAGCAGCAGGGCTGTTTTGGTGTGGGTTGAGGGTGGATGATGCTGGAGCCAGCTAAGAAAAATCTTCATGTCAGCCCTGGGCATCGGCCTAGGCAGGACAGATGAGGAGGGATTTTCCAAGGAGCTCATTGCTTCGGTGGGGCTTGGGAGCTGGATCATCACTTTCATCCGCTATTACTGGGCAGATCTAGGCAAGTTGGATCTTCCTTGTGCTTCAGTGTCTCTGAAAAATGGGAATGATTATGCTGGCCATCTGAGCAGAACATTTTGGTTGATAAGAAAAAAAATACTAGTCAGATACTCTTCTTGGCAGTTCTGTAGTTCCTTGTATCAGAGCCCTCTTCTTCCATGTTTTCCACACGTTAAAATCTAAGCATTGTCTCAGATCTGTCTATAAAAAGAATGGTAATTATGTAGTAATATTGAAGCTACAAATTGGCCCTCTGTGTGCTCATTCTCTGTGTTAAACAAAAGGCAATTTACAATTACATCGTTAGCTTATCATTAATCAGTTAGTATTTCTTCATAAGCAAAAAGATGGTGTGGGCACTTGCTGTATACCCGCTGAGTTACCCGTTGCCCATAGGCACTCTATTGTCCTCAGCAAACTTGTCAATGGACCTATGTAACGCTCCTGCATGGAAAAAACTTGGGCAGTTCTGTAACAGTCTCTTCCCAAAAATTTTTACCTACTCATATTAAGGTTTTCATCTTAACTTTGTTAGGTGAAAAACAGCTTTCTTACAGATAACAACATTTTGACAATCTTTCATATTTTTCTTTCTTCATACAAGTTAGCATTAGGAAGTAGTATTTTGCAATAAATACAAGAGTGTATTTCGTATTTTTAAACTGATGTGCATTTTCTCTTAGGTTCAGTCAACCCTGTCTTCCAAGATGATGGGAAAGGTGCCTGAAACACACCAGACAATAACACTGGTAGGAAAAGAAAGCCCAAATATCACGTTATGTTCCACGCTGGAAAACACAGTATGAAAACACTTCATGGCATTAGCTAAGGTCGGAATGACGAGTTCAGGCTCACCATCAGTGCAGGACTTGCTTGCAAAACCATGTCACTCACTGAACGCTTTTTTGCCAGCACAGAACCCAGTAATACATCTGAAGCGTGAGCTGTCTGGGATCAGAAGCAATGCAGGAATTGGAGTAGAGAGCTCTAAGATCATTGCTTAGAGCTGGATCCTGCTGATCCCGAACTGACAAATCCTGAGTGCCCTGGGTCTGAACAGCACTGTTTGCTACACAAGGATCATGACAGAACTAAACCACAGTCAAATCTGTTAGTTATCAGACAACATTTGAATGCACTCAGACGATCATATATTTTATTGGCTTAGTGTAGAGCTAGGAAATTATATGTATATTCAGGATTTGGGGTTTTTTATTGTTGAGTCTTGGCACTTTTTTAGTATCATGGGTAAACTCAGGGCTGTTCTGCTCAGGTAAAAGTAGTTGTACCTAGCTGGAATTACAAATATCTGATGCTAGACAACAGGGAAGTTCTGAGCAAGATCAAAGAAATATTCCTTTATCTCCCCCTTTCAGTGGAAACGCCAAGGAATTCAAAGCTGTATTAGTGCTACATACCATCTCACAGAAAATGTTTATTCTAGGGATCAGAAACATTCTGGCTAGATTCAGACTTAGACTTGACCTTTCCCTCTGCTCCTTCCACTCTGAGCACTTTGTACAGATGATAAAGGAGAATCGCTGACCAACTTTCTTGCATAAAAAAAGCGTATTTTCTTTGCCATTAAAAAAAAAAAAAAGCCCAAACAAAAACCTTGTTCTGTTGGGTCCAAGAAAGCTTTCTTGGTTGCTGTGTTTCATGCAGTTCTAGTTCTGTTGTGCACTGAGAGAAGCTGCTGATGGATTTCATGAACAGCCATACCTACAGGAAGTAGGCTAACAGGTAACTAAGAACAAGTGAAAACAAAACTGAAAGACACCGATGGTTTTGTTTTAAGTGCAACTGAAATGCCACCCTGAGAGTTTCTCTACCATATGACATAGCATTGCAACAGCTCCACCCATTTCCCTCAAGGAAAATTCAGACCATACTGGTTATGCTTGTCATCTTCCCCCTTAACAGAGATGCACTGTTTAAAACTCAAAGCTGAAGGGACAATAGAATCTAAAAAAAGAGAAATTGAAAACAGTGAACCTTTGGCTTCACATGGTATCATTTTATATGAACTTTAGCTGCGATAGCTTGCTTTAATGTTCAGCAATAAGCTTCTGCCATCAAAATCAATTTGTGAAGTCTGTCCTCTATCTGGGAAAAAGTGGGAAGATTACAGGTTTTAGACAACTACTACTCCCAGCTAGGCTTCTTGTTTCATGAAAATCTGGTCAGCAACTACTCTGCTGAACACTTGATGCTACATTCTTTTTTAATTCCTTTCAAAGTGCATGTTGAGCATGGAAGTGAACAGCACCTCAGCATGTGCTAGCATTAATATAGTTCCCTAGTCCACTGCTAGCTAGTAAGGTTTACATACTTCACCACTCCCCCACACCAGACAGAAATCAACATGGTACTTGTCTTTTGCTGCCCCTGCAGTGTCATACACCCTTCCTTGTGATCAACAAATGAAAACAAACCCCTATTTCTTTATCTGCACTTCTGTACTGCACAGTCAGTTTCAGTTTTGAGTACATTAATATACAAAGGAGACATGGAATAGTTTTTGTTGCTCTTGACCCATTTCCTTGATTCTCCTGACTGCTGCTACAAGAGGTCATTATGAATTTAGAGGCTGACCTAAAATTCCTGTGTTTCACGCCAACGTACAACTAAGCAGAATTATGCAATTCACCACCACTGAACTCCCTGGGATCCTATCCCTGGTTAAGGAAAAGCCCCTCAGGCTTTAGGATCTTGCCCAAGTTTTTATGGGGATGGAACCTGGTGATCATGTAGCACTTAGTAGGCAAGCACTGCTTCTTGGCAAATGTACTGGTCAGAATGACTCTGCCCACTTGACTAATGATCTGCCCATTCATTTAAACAGAAAAAAAAAAATTAAGATTTGTCTGTTTGTAGAGACATATTCAAAACAGTTCTCCACCCTCATTTGTACTTTTGAGATGCTGCAGTTCCTAACACTCCTTTGCTCTGGCTGCAATCATCTTTCAGTTTGCTCCTGCTGAGGGAAGAGCAAGACTGCCTTCTGTTTCTGACTTCACAATACATGTAAAAGGGCCATGCAAGAAGAGGCTTTCAACACCCTCATTTCCTCAGTATATTTCACCTTTGCACCCTTTGCAACTTTGCACAGAGTGATCTCAGAACCCACATATTTACGCTTCAGGGTAAGGCTCAGTATGCGAGAAGTTTAACATGGGCTCTGTAGCACCCATTTTCTTTACAGCCTAATTTTCTTTTACTGATGTGAACAGTTAGTACCAGAAACTGGTTAAAAGGAAGGTGTAACACACCTAAGCATGTGCAGACACACAGTCTTCACTTTGCTCCTGCTCTTAAAAGTGGTCCTATTGGTCAGCCTTCACAAATCAAGGTCTTTTTTTCCACCTTACTTTTGAGATAGATCCCAGAACAGATTTAAAGGGGTGGAGCTGACTGTTAATTGTAGTGCATTAGCTCTGCACAAGACAGCATACCTTTTCTATATAAACAGCATCACATTCTGTTAACAGCTTGTCACAGCACTCAGATGTAGAACAGGCAGGGGTAAAGACAAACAGGTAACAGTGCAGATTAAAAATACTAAATTATTCTGAAGGAGTCCTGACAGTCAAAAGAATTTCCAATTTAAAAGCAATGTAGGTACCACAGATCTTTTAAAGCATTACAAATATCTTCTATTGAGGAGAGTTGTGAATTTACACTTTCTAACTGAAACCTTTCCTCTCCTAGCTGCTCTAGCATTGTATCTCTCAACCTGGATGAACAAGCAAATAGATTTTCTTGGTTTGTTTTCATTCCCTGGGGCCTAAGATTTTACCCATATATACAAAGCTTTTTAGCTGCCTGTAAAATCAGAAGGCTGCTTAGTATTGATAAATTTTTCATATAATCCACAATTTATCCACAACACTCTTACAATTACTGTTATCTGTCTTGCATTTAATCTTTCTTTAGAGAGGAAAAAACACTTCAGAATACGTCAGACGCCTTCCTGTTGATCATTACAAACCCACAGATGCGTAACGCCACCTTGTGACAGTACTTCAACAATACGCCGAACACCCACGGCTCCCATAGTGGTGTTCAAACGGCTGTCCATACAACCTTAGGAGTATAGCCTATTTCCAAAATCCACAATGCGGGCTTAAGGAGGGCAGTTTCACAAATATCCTACACAGAAGTCTGTGTATCTGGCAATATTAAAAGGGTCCGTTTTATTTCTATGGAGAAATATTTTAGGTTCATAGGTGAAGGAGGTACTGGTACAGCATAGGTGTATCTAGAGTATATTCTTTGAAAAACCACCAACAATGGTATCTGATAGGTACATGGCTTATAGTATGTTTTCTGTGCATCTGGAAAATATATCTGATGCTGTAAGAGTCACTTCTAAGCCTCTGATATGATTTTTCCCTTTTGAGGAAAGGGGATTTTAAATAGTGTCTTAGCACTTTTTAAAGTGGTAACAGTTCTTTAGAACTGCTACTACTTTATTTAGCAATTCAAGTGAAACAGAAGATTTGGGTTTTTTCATAGAAAATATTACTACAAATCTGTAGTAGCAGCAGTTTTTAATTTACCAAAAACTGGCATCTATTAGCAACAGGATATACACAAAAAAATATCTTTGTTTATACAAATAAAATTAGGTTCTGAATATTCACAAAGTAACCTAACAGAGCAACAACTTCTTCACATTGACATTCAAAGTTAATCAGATCAGTTGTGATATAAAACCCCTATATAATATTCAGTCAAGCACCATGGCAGACAGTGCATTAAGATCTCTCATGTAGGGATGATCAGCTAGTATTTGATCAATCTTCTGTCTTTGCTCATAATCAGGAAAAATTTTTATCAGGGCTTCTTTTAGCTGTACTGTTTCTGAGGCAGATCTCGGTGGTGGAATTGCTAGACAAGCCTGTATGTCTGTTTCCAGCGGAAGCCACGTTGAAGAACGATCACCATGTGCTCTGTTTTTAGGCTGTCGACTGCTACTGGTTGGTATGGGGACTGGCACGAAGAAAGGTGTCTCAGAAGAATATTTTCCACTGCTCTGTAAAGCCACTTCTGCTGACCAAAAATCTCTATGGAACAGAACAAAAGTTTTGATTAAATTAAGGTAAAGGAGATGCTAGCTGTCTCTGTACAAATACAGAAAAGAAAAAGGTGTGTAACTCCTATACTTCACTGCTGCTCAGCTGTTACTGCTTGGAATTCAATGATAAGCATTTTTTCAAAGTGAAACAAAACAGTAGGTTTCAATTTCAATCTGGCACAACTAACAACATTAACTACTATTATCTAGGCCTGACTACAATATGCTGTGAGTACTTCACTTGGCAGAATAGAGCAACAGTCAAAGCTTATTTTATGGAAGTATCAGCATAACTATTATTGAGCTAAATGGATAAAAAGATACACTGAACACATGTACACTGACTCAGAACATGTGCAAACACTGACAAACCTAAGGGGCTTCCAGATGCTACACAAGACTATTCCTCATTTATTTTTGCTCATGACTGTGAGCTGTGCTCACATTTAGATCAAGGCCTTGTTTCCCTCACATGAGATCCTTAATGGGCCAGTGAAGTTTTTCAGCAATTTCAGGATATAAGCATTCTTTGTTAATTACTGAGATTTCCTTTCAGACTTTGAAAAGTTGTTGCTACTCTAAACTGCTAGCACTACAAAACTTAGGGGCAAGTCTATTTCAGATGCCACCAGATAACAAAGAAATGTTAGCTGAAACTCATTACATTCCATTCTCCTACCACCTGTACCTAAATTACAGAGCACTATTTTAAAAGCATTTAGGTTATGACACCTCCTACTACTCAACATGGAAAGGCCCTCTAATTGTTCAATATACTTCCAGCTTTTGGTTCTATTACTGGTGCCATTTATGATTCCTGCATCATTTAACTCAAGCAGAGAATTCTCAGGGAAGGAACAAAATTAACTCTTTACACTGGCACCTTTCTCCGTCTTAAAAAAATCCAGAACCACAGCCTCATTCCAGTTCCAAGTTTACAGATGGGAGACCAAGCTCTTCTAGAGTCTCTCTCCATTTCTACAATCATCAAAGTCTCCTCTCAGAACACAGTCCATTTTAATTTCATTTTTTTGGACACAGGCAGCTAAAACAGTATTCGAAATGACATCTCGTAAGCGTTTTATATCAGAGCTCAAATACATTCTTACTGGAATTCTAGAACTGCTCTTACTTTTTTCATGTTGACATTACATGCTTATTTTCAAATCAACCTGTGACCTACTGGTATATACATGTCTCACTTTTCTCAGTTGTTTCCCATAGCCGAGGTTCCTGCTTATTCTTTGTATTAATCCTTAAGTATAGCTTGCCTTTCGTACTGCTTTTATTTACCTCACTTGTTTCTAAAAGCTGTCTCAATACTTCTCACTGTCATTAGAATTTATAATACCTCAACTGTGAAAGAAGAGCAAAGAACAGCTTGTTTTCTTTTGAAAAGAGCAAACCCATTCTCGAGTCTTGGCAGTTAATACAAAGCAAATTCACAGTTTAAATATATGCACTTAAGAAGAACAACAATTTTAACAGAACAATGTATGTTTCTAAATATTTTAAATTATGAATCAAATACAAATGCATTTACTAACAATGCATATCAAAAATAGTTTCATTAACAGTACAGTACCCTCAAGTGTGAAGTGAGATGCCTCACCCATGACAAAGAATGTGTGTGGAGTGTTTCTTTTGTAGCACTTGCAGTCCCACTATGAATAAGTGATCAACCAAAGTGTTTTAAATAACGTCACTGTAATTAACAGAACACCAGGCTACCACATACCCAAGCCACTGGCAGCTTTATGCAATGTTAACAGTTTGGACCACCTTTGTGTGAAAACCACCACAACCAAACCTCAGAGGAAGTTATTGTCTCACTTAGTTCTGAGAGAGATCTTGATTAGAGGCAAATGTCACCAGCAGCTTCTGAAAAGACTGAGGTAATAGGAAAAACACGTTTTTGTTAAGCTACTACATGCTACAGTGTTCTTGCTTAATTCTACTGTACTATATAGATTGAAAACTATATATGTACTATACAGATTGAAAGAAGCATTCAAGTGAACCAGGAAAACAGTTTACCTCACCGACTCAAACAAAAGTGAAAACAGTGATCGTACCTAGAACGGCCTTCACTTCGAAGGAAGTCGTCTAATCTGGGTCCGTTTCTTCCCAAAGGATCATCAGGAACCATAAATATGTCACCAGCAAAAGTGTACTGGAGCAATCTGCAAGACAGTTCCTTCAATATTATTTACTAACAATGTATTAAACCCTTGCTGCCCTTCATCTCTGTCGAACAGGACAAGTTGCCTTAGAGCAGACACTTCACAGCACGAGTCACTGAAACTTAACCACTAACCCATTTTAGATACAACCAGCATTCCTTGTCGAAATAATTTAATGGCAGCTTATGTTACCTGTTCTCATTGCACTACAGAACACTGAGCTTGATCTTCTTTTTTTGACAGCAAGTGTTGGATGACTGTAAATTTTTGCGAAGAGATCAGGGTGGAATTTTCTAGGTGATTAGAGAAGATTTGCTGATAATGCAAACTCCTCTTTCTTGTAAGGATCTTTAACCATGTAGCTGAAATGCATATGTTATCAGAAAGCCACACAACTGGCTGTTTATAGTTGAGACACAAAGAAGTTTTTTTTCTAGAATAATTTTGGAACAGAGGGAAATATGCATTAAAGGAAACCAGTTCAACTACAATTTGTCCATGAGCTCAGAATCTGGTATAGTGGAATTTGCCCAGAAGTAAAACCAATAGCAGATGTTAACACAAGCTTTTATAAAACCGCAGACTCGGGAAGACCTGCTAAGTATTCTTGCTAAAGTTGTGTAGGAGAACAGAGCCCAGCTTGGGTAGAATTCACTCAAGAAGTAGTATAAAAACCTGCATGACTAGCCAACATCGATTCCATGTTCTCCCAGCGACTTTGTGAGAACCCAAGACAGTTTCCAATTATTTATTTCATTCGACCTATAGAGACCCCAGTCACTGCAGTAGATGTACCCTCAGAAAATGTCAGGGACACTCAGAGGGGTTAGTGGGAAACCAGGGCTATAGAAGATCATACCTTAATAGTGAAATGATCTGATTTTACTGGAGGAGGGCAGGGTGACGATGACGACAACAAAACAAAAAAAACCCCAAACA